TGTGTATTTACGATCCCGAACGCGAGACTTGAACCCAGGACTTTTGGTTTTGCGTGCGAACGCTTAATCTGTAGACAACTGAGCCCGCATCCAACGGTGTTTATGTCTAACTTCAACCAATCCACAATATTGCGCGACCGTCCACCATTGTCTTCAGTGAGTAATTGATTCACAACACACATGATTGAACTCCACTGGTCACCGAAGGTCCTGAGTTCAAGTCCCAAGTGCGGCATCGTGGATGCGCACTGCCATGGAAGAGTCACATACTAGAACAAAACGGTTGTCCAGTGCTTCCAACTTTTTAATGATGGTCTAACATCGATCCATTCATGATATCAATCTAAATTCCATATTTAAACAATGGAAAATAATTGGAAAAGGACCTTTCTGAAAATTTGTTGCACCGAAAATATCGTACCTAAAACGTGTATGTTTTTGCTCTTCAATAGACATAACAGTCCCATACATTTGCAAAGCCAGATATACATATTCTGTAATGAAATTAATTTAACTTTACAGTTAGTCTCACCAATCTTTCTTATTAACAGTTTCATGTGTAATTATATTCCATACACATCAAAGAAATTAAGATGACATGTGAACACTTAATCCGATTCAATAACGAACAGAGGAATTTATAGACTAAATTGTCATCCCGATATTGTTGACTTCGGACTGAACAAATACTTCAATGAAAAACCAATTGTATGGGAACAAATTGACGAAAAAAAGCGTTTTCATACAAAACTACATGAGATAATGTTGAGAATCAAAAACAACCGTTACATACATTGACGTCATTATAATCACAATGAAACGTACATATTCTTTACAACAATCAAATTCGTAAGTAAGTAGGTTTCAGATTGGGACCCCAAAACAGCATCAGATACTTGGTGAAAAATAAATTAGTAGAACTTAACACTAGATCAATAGAATTAAGAAGTTGTCATACTTTATCAGGTGATACACTCGACTCGAATATTTGGACAAAGATCAAGAAGTAAGACATAAATTAGGAAAAGTGTTCCTTAACTCACAATACAAACCAACTGACAAGTGGAGTCTAAGGGAAACCAGAGGGTTATCAGTTTTACATATACGAAATTCAGTATAGCCGAATTTGTCTACCTTGATCAGTTGCAGCTTACTATTATACAAAAAATCATGGACGTTTTAATAATCAGTTTTTCCGGTTATAAATGAAACTGCGTAATGAAGTTGTTACCCGCAATACTTGCATTAAAGTCCTTGTTTAACGACAGCGATTTACAATTTAAGCTAGATGGTTTCAGATTCATACATACAGTACGAAAATGGTACGTTGGAAAGAAATCAGTCAAATATAGACGATATAAGACTTAATAAAAGATTGTATTCATTCAAACTGTCATATTTTATGTTGAATCAAAGAAACAAATCTAACAATATGGGAAACCTAGTAGAAATAATAGTATTAACTATAGTAGAAAGTTCTTGATAGATGCTCCGGAAAAATCGAATGAGCAGTATGAAATGCCAATAAATCTAAAGTTTAAGAAGGAACATACTGAGTAAATACAATAACTACATTGATGTGATGGACTTCAGTCCATGTCAAATAACTACATAAGCATTAATTTATGACAATTGCTACGTTAATAACCAGAAAGTCTGCATAAACCAACCCAATTCTTGACTTCGTGGATTGATACCATATCTTAGATTTGGTGTCTAACGTCACCAATCCATGAAATTGCGCGACCATCTTCCATTGTATAGAGGTAGATACATGTCTCACTGGTCACGGTTTCTCACTAAAACTCCGAGAATTTTGTGGATTGGTTGAGGTTAGACATTGACACCATTGAATGCCAATCGGCTCAGTGATCGAGAGTTTAAACGTTCGCGCGCAAGACCAAAGGCCCTGGGTTCGAATCCCGCAACCAGGATCGTGTATGCGCACTGCTGAGGAGTCCCACAATAGGATGAAGCATCCATCCAGTGCTTCTAGGTTTTCAATGATGATCTAACATCAATCAGTCCAAGATCTAAATAAATAAAAAATACTGTTCTCTTAACTCAATTGTTGTAACGGGTAGACTGCAGGTTAGATGCGCAGCGTTTTATCGATCGATTACAGTGACACGGAAAACACGTAGTGAACGACCTAGTGCCCTGATTGGTCCCGCTCCCCTGTCTAGCCCAGTCAGTTGAGTCCATAATGCAAGTCACAGCCTCTGAAATATGAATCGTTATATTTCAAACATACTCTGTTTATATACCAACCAAACAGACCACATCGTACCATAAAAATAGAAAACAACATCTGTACAATATTTAACGGGTGAAATAAATAATGGCCAATAGGGGATGCCCATTTAGAGTCCAAGGACATCATTAGACTTAACATGATAATGATTGGTATATTCCTCAGCATCCCTAACACCCCTTTTTTGAAGATCCGGAGTTGATATCCGGATTTTAAAATTTTCTGCGTCCGTCCTTCCCTGCGAAATAATGTTGGGTCCTCATATACCCAAGTACCAGTTAGTCTGATTCTATTTAAAGCATATTTCCCGCATTGGGTAGAGGGTCCACTAGAACTGACTAGATGATGAGTATCAGCGACACTATATATGAGGTCATTAAGGTTTGATTCTTGTGAAACATATTCACCAGACCTCTTCAAAATTCCATCAGTGGATAATAGATCACTAAAATAAACAGCATCTTTGAAATTTCTGTTAGATTTCTGACCATTATTTAATGCACGGGACACATTTTCTAGCACGAGGAGTTCTTCTTGTGAGCCGGATGCCTCACTGTCTGTACATGTTTCGGGCACAGCGGTATTTGAACCCATGACAGGGCATGCTTCTGAATTGACATTTCTGGATCGCTGGACGGATCATGAGCGACTGCCTCGTTTGCATTACTGATCATCAGGGATTCATAGAGGCTTTTGTTTTCATATTCATACGTCCTGCAGTCATTTTCGAGTTCAGTATGCAAGTGAGAAATTAATTCATCAATTTCTTTCACATCTCCGAAACATGGGAGATTTAGCAGTCGCGTGCGTAAATTGTCCAAAACGCTCAACTGGCTCTCTCTGAAACGCTGCTGTTGGCGATCAAGTAGTAGCTGCAACTGATCGGGAGGGATAGTCATTTTCTGAATCAGCAGGGTAATGAGAAATACTGTGATCAATTAACAACCAATGACTTCCAAGAACACCGACGATCAATCTGAATGCTGATTGGCCAAAATAAACAGGCTGAATCTCATCCAATTACAGGGTTTACAATTTTCTCTACCCCGTCGCCAATTGTTGTAACGTCTGGACTGCAGGTTATGATAAGCAGTGTTATTATCGGTCGATCCAGAAGTATATGACATGCCGAAAATGACATCGGAGAGTACAATAAGAAGATTGTCAGGATTGTTTGCTAGTTTCGGGGTTCCAGAGATATTAGTGACCGACAACGGTACTCAGTTTATGTCATCTGTTTTCAAACGCTTTTGCAGTGAAAATGGTATATCGCACCTACAGTCTCCTTCGTACCATCCTCAGTCGAATGGCCAAGCAGAAAGATTCGTAGATACGTTAAACGTGCTTTGGTCAAAGGGGGAGGTGAGGGTATTCCGGAACAAGTGATCAGTAAGTTCTTAATGTCGTACAGAGTTACCCCTAATCCTGCAGTACCAGAAGGAAAGTCGCTAGCCGAGTGTATGTTCGGAAGGAAAATCCGGACAGTCTTTAACAGTATGTCGCCGCCCAGAGAGACAAATAAACCCACGAATGAAGATCGTAAGGTCAATCGTAGCTTCCAGGTGGGTGAAAAGGTACTTCTCAGATCGTATCGAGGTAATAGGAAGTGGGAACCAGGTGTCATAGAACGTCGAATCGGAAAAGTACTGTACCTAGTCCGGAAAGGTGTCGGAAAATGCATAAGACACATAAATCAAATGCAAAGAAATGATAGCACAGTGGTCCCAGAAAGCCGGCTGCCATTTCAATTGCTCGTAGATTCATCTCAGGAGAACCATCATGAGCGCAAACATCGAAAAGACAAACGACGAAGAGAGAAAGCTGTACAACCCTAGAGAGTAATGGACCGCAAGAGGAATGCGACACCCAAGCTTCAGGTGGATCCAAGAAAAAAATCTTACAGAACGGACTTTAAAGGGGGGAGGTGTGATGACGGACCACCGGTGAACTCGAGGAAGCTGTAAGAGGCTCAGAAGGAGCCGAAGACGTCTCAACCAATCACCTTTCGGAAGAATATTCTAGAATTCCAACGTGTAGCTTCCCGATTGGATAATGCTAATAACCCCCTGTATGCGGATTGGAAGACTGTAATGATGATTTCGTTCTTACTAAAAACTATAAATACCTGACAATTTTGTACTATGATTGACACTGTTTCGAATAATATTCTTTTCGTTAGTCTTCTGTCTTCTTACTGTGACTTGGAAGGGTTTTGATGTTCTAGTGCTCTGTTATACGCGGTAGTATCAAGAAAAATCAACTTTTCAAGATATAACATCAATCAACTATGAATTTGAGTATTTGTTACAGGTAGAACTCTTGAAATTTACATCATATAATGCGTACAAATAATCGTCAAGATTAAAATGAATAGCTTGACAGAAATTGGGCGTCAAGTATACAGAAGTGATTAAATGTGTGAAAACTATATTCTGAAATAATCTCTTAACGATTGAAATCAAAGCTTAAAAAGTATTAGTAGAACTTCAGAGATATTCCATAAAAACAAGTTGAAATTTGTAATGGTTAAAATAAATAACAATAAGATGAATTTTACTATTTACAAATGTTTAAATGGAGACAGATTTGCAGAAAATTAAAAAATAAAACATTAAATATTTACACAATATTAGATATACTACTTAAATACTGACTATATAGATATATACTACTTATTATTGATCCATAAGAATATAGAAGAAAGTATAACTGTAACAATTGAAAATGTATTTACAATATAAATTAATCAACAATTTACAGCTTCATTTTCCATACCTAAAAAAGAAAGAATTGAAATGTAAAAATGATTATATAACTGAAAGTAGATTTCAATTTCTAAATAATTAAGAGAGTTATTGTAAATGGTATTATTCACAGATTGAATTGAACTAAACAACTTGTAAAACTATAAAGTACTAAACAGCTGTTTTGCACTACAAATTCCGTGGTACAACCGAGAGTAAGGAGATTCAGCTGTACCTCTCCTAATGCTCTCAAATGACCATGTGCATACAACTACTGACTGGGAAGTCCTACACACTGCTTTCTCATGGCGAGGGTATTGTTTAGGAAAATGAAAGGATGAAAAGCACATGTCCGGCGATCTAACCGGGTTGGTGGACACGAAGAGGGTTGTTGGAAAACCCTAATTTCAAACCAATGGTGTACATAGGCTCCATTATCCTGAAGGAACAAATGGCGTATGAGCCCATTGTTGGTCACCGGCTACCATGGGACTGCATCTCCTCACGTTGCTCCACTACCTTGTCTATCAGACCTTTAGGTCAAAGACTCTGGTTGTGGCCCCTTGAGAAAACCACCTGTTTCGGTTTGAGCACCCGGGAAGTATCGCGGCCCTCACACTAATCGAATGATTTGTGTGGTGCATATCTGTTTGGTGCCTCCTTGTACTAATGTTTATGTATTTAAATAAATAAATAGTATAGGACTACTCAGTAATGTGCACCAACGGCCAAATCAGTGATCAAAACCATGACATACAAGTGATCCCAGGAGCTTAATAATTAAACCAATGAGTTTGAACCTAATGGTACAAATTTGAATTTGAATTAATTTACGCCCATTATCCAATGTCACTAGTGACGACTGTCTTGCTTTCAAAATCACAAACAAAACTATCTGGAGGTGTGTGTGTGTGGGGGATCAGTTACTAAAAGCTCATAAAGACTGAAGTGGTTTCATACTGTTTAAGAACTGATCAACAGGTTTTACCCACAATGCTACATGGGCCATAACACAAGATCTTCAGGTCTTACGAATCATTAACCTATAGTTAAAGTGAAATTTAACAGATTTTTCAAGCACAAGTTTATGTACTCAGTTTGAGATAAATCTTTTGTGTGAATAGTTAGTTATGCTAACGATGGACTGAAGGCGGAATTGGGGAGTTGTGTTCCGACTTGCGACCTACTAGTTGTGGGTTGCCATACTGTAACCACTAAACAACTGAGCACATGACTTTGGGTAAACGTAAATAAGAAACGAACCTAATGAATCAAGAAAGATAGATGGACCACAGAGTCAGTATCCAATGAAGAGTCACACCTCGAATGAAATCTAGATTAGGCGGCGTTCCCTCCAGAACACCTCCAACCAAGCCCTAAGATACAACTAATACAAAACCTGTTGCAAATGTGTATCGATTTCAATCGACACGGTTTATGTCAAAATATTGAGATAGTAAATTGAAAAAAAAAGGAAATTAACACAGTCGGAATAATCATATCAGTGGTATGAGTGTTGTGAATGAGAACACAGGCGGGGACCACCAAATGTAGTTTAGTACATTACAGAATACCTTGATAAAATCTGAGAGCCATACAGTAAATACTACATTTGCAAAATATCCACCAATTGTCTCAGACTCTGTTATTCCTTCGTTTCCATAACGATTACTCTTTGTTCCTGTTCTATTCTCTTCAATCTTCTCAACTTGATGCTGCCAGTCATTCTACTGTTGGATGGTGATACATCAGTAGCACACACCATATGAGCAACTCGAACCATTTGGCTGACGCCCACAATCTAAATACGGACAAACCAAACTGCATAAACGTAGTTTAACAATGAAACTAATTATCTCTATCCTTATTAATTAATATATTTTTTGTTATATCGCGATGAGTAGAAAAATTGTACTTCTGACGTTTCGTAACTCAATGTAAGCCACTTCCTCAGAGTAAATAAATAACCGAATTAAATTAACACAAGTTTAAATAGTACAAAGAAAATAATGCAGAATATTTTTAGTACAACCAAAATCATAATAGATCTGAAGGGAAACGGAAAAGAGGAAAGCCAAAGAACACACTGCATCGAGAACTGGAATCAGACATCAAAAAAATGAATAACAACTGGAAAGGATTGTCCAGGAGAGAGTTCTATGGAGAATGCCAGAGGGCAGCCTATGCTCCTCCACGAGGGGTAACAAACGTAAGTAAGTAAGTTGTTTTACCCGCCCTCTGATAATGTAACTTTCTTCCTAACTTTTTTAAATTTATATCAAGCTGATTCAGGTGTATATTATTCGAAACGCTACTAGACGAGAGACAACGTAACTACATACATAACCCATAATTGAATAACAATCGATAGAATAATGCATAACACATACTCACCTTTGTTAAATCGTGTTAGATTTTTTATATCCGGTTGAATAATATAAGATTCACTGAGTTTTATTTGTCGTGATGGTTGTGATAATGTTTTCGATGGATTCACAACAATAACAGGTTCTAAATCAATTAACGCTGTTTGTGAACCATCACTTTGACAACTATCACGACGATGTGAACAACTATCGGTTTTCGTTTCCATTCTATCAATTTTATTTAATAAATCTACACTGGAATCAATTTCACCGATGACATCATTTGTAAAGATATGGCTTGGATGAATTAAATGTGAGTTTTTAGTAAGCGTTTCATGTTCAGATGATGAAACTAATAATTCATGCTTTTTACGATGTGTTGAATGAGATAAACGTTTTAAATTTAAACCGCTAGGTTGTCCAGTTCTGGATAATACTTTAACACGTGTTGGACGTGATTGATTAACTATAGACGTTGATGGTGATGACAATGTAGCTGGTGATAATGCAATACTTGTAGTTATTGTTGTTGTTAGCGGTGATGATGAAGATGGTATTGTAGTTGTTACTGTTGTAACAGAAGCACTTGAATGAACAACACGAAGTTGTGAATGTTCTGTTGCCTTAAATAGAAATGATGGAAAATTAATTTTAAAATTTGAATGATTTCTTTTATGTATCTTTGATGACTGTTCGGATAATGACTGACCAATAGTATTGGTTCCACCTGATGAATAGACAGGCCATGGTTTTGTACGATTGACTCTTGAACGATTAAAAAAACAGTAATAATGAAGGTGACACAATGAAATCGAAATCATCAAACGTATACTTTGTCTCAGAAGGGTTTTTTGTGGATATTATAGTAATTTTATTAGTTGAGATCATGAGTCAACTGAAGCTAGACCATCTTGGAAAACCTGAAAGCATTGGACGGCCGTTTTGTCCTATTGTGGGACTCTTTAGCAATGAGCATCCACGACCTCGTCTCGCGAGATTCGAACCCAGGACCTATCAGTCTCGCGCGCCAGCGCTTAACCACCAGTCCACTGGGCCGGCACCCAAAGGTGTTAATGTCTAACTTCAACCAATCCACGAAATCGAGCGACACTGAAGACATTGGTGGATGTGTCTCTCAGTCTCATGAATTGGTCGAAGTTAGACATTAACACCGTCGGATGCCGGCTCAGTGGTCCGGTGGTTAAGCGCTCGCGCGCGAGAATGATAGGTCGTGGGTTTGAATCTCGCGAGGCGAGGTCGTAGATATATTTTTATGTTGAAATCATGTCATCACATCAAAGAACATTTTGTATCACTTAACAAGTTGTAAGCAACTATTTAAAGTAACTCCACACAGAACTACTGTTATAATTGCCTATAGTTCGTTTTAAAATTTAAATCAAGTTGACCTATATGAAGTTGCCTATCTATTTTCCAGTGTTTAAAAAATCGTTCGATTTCCAGCAACTTCAGCATTTCTTTCTCGTTCATTTATTGGGTGAGTGCTGCATACCAGTATTGTATCTAGAACAAAATATTGGTATAGTTACTTGTTATAACAACACAGTAGAACAAACCAACTAAGCTCTACTCGGTAAGTCAAAGCATCTTCATATAAAAGAGTTACGACACCTAACAGTGAAAGCTGAGATTTTTCAGAAATCAAGAGGCCGATACCCTTCTCATTTGAGATGTTTTTTCCATCTTGTCTCTTAATTAGAGAATGTAAAAGAGAATAAATTAGGATTCATTCATTGAACATATTATCCGCTTTTTGTCATGAATTGATTACAAATTGGGGAACAATTGGATATCAGGGAGTACTAAGTGGTTGTTTCCTACGAGGAGCCCTATACTAAAATGAAACCTTTTGTTGGTGTTCTCTGGTAGATCTCAACGGTGCCCCCAGTTGTGATCATTCTGTGATGAAAGCCAACTTATAAAATAACAAATTATACAAATTAAAAGAACAGATTAACACAATTTGTAAATATAAACTTACATTTCTAATAAATTAGTTTGCAATTCACAAAACCGTTTATATTCTGATTCACCAAAAGACTAGAAAGAGAAACCAACATTTGTAGAATATGTATTTTTCAATGATTTTAAACTACGACATAGTAGTAGTAGTACTGGTAGGGTAGTAGGAGGAGGAGGAGTAGAAGTAATAGGAGTAGGAGTAGCAGTGGTAGTAGTAGTAGCAGTAGTAGTAGTAGTAGAGAGAAGAATAAAGAACAACTTACGTACATTCAAATCATGCCTTGCCCATAAATACAGTTGACAATATTCTTCAATGTGATCACGAGATGGTGGCGGATTCATGACATTATGACGAGCTGTCAATAAGAAATCACGTATATCTCTTAATGGAGGAGCTTCTAATGTCGAATCTAAGGAAAGTATGGCTTGTTCTATTTGAAATACAAAACAGAAAAAAGGGGAAGAAAAAAGCAACAAATTAACGTTTATAAGTTATTTTTATTAAAAAGTAAAAAAATAAAATTCAACAACCAACCTACTTAACATGAGAAACTGATCGACTGTTTTAGCACGATAAAGGAAAGTTACTTCACCTGTAATATGATAAAGAAAATAAGCCAAATTATTGATGTTTGGGTTACATTATACATACCAGTAGAAGTGTAGACATCGTAATTTTCAGAATAATGAGGACCGAATACCTGAGGTTCAGTGCGTATTTTCACAGTGCCATTAATTTTTTTCTCGATATTTGATTTCCAAACCTTGGATCGTAAATAAATGAAGAAATATAAGATTCAACTCAGTATAAGCCCTTACAAATAGATTGTACTTGTTCATATAGAGTTGGCTGGTGGTTAGTAGTGAAATTCAAAATTCTAGTTCCGTCCTATATAAGGTTTGTCAGCTGAATCTGCATGTACTCCAGTGTTGATGTCCCCACCGAGACTCAGTAGCTAAGCGGTTGACGCGTTGGACGGTATAAGCGAAAAGTACTAAGTTCGATTCCAGGTGCTAAAATCAAATCTGGGGTGCAGATGTATCCAGCTGACTAGTCTCAAATAGAACGAAAAGAGCATCCAATCAGTTACTATCGAACTCTGTTTAAAAAGTGTTTGTGACTTAATGGAAATATCGAGATGATCAACTTCGAAACTGATCAATTGTAGTGCTTAACATCAATAAGAAAATGCAAACTCTTACAAAGGAATTGAATTGTAATTGGTTTTTAAGAACTGTAATGTTTGAAAAGAGGGGTTTTATTATAGGACTACAATTATACAATACAATATAGTTTTTTCGCTCAACTCGAATACATATTAAATAAAACAAGGTAGTAGATTGATAAAAAAAGCATAAGCTTTTGTTTACTGAGTTTTTCGATTTATGTTTTAAGTAGGCATAGGAGGTATCGGCTTACAACAATTTAGTAAACAAAAATAAAATAGGAACAGTCAAATTGAGGTAATACAAGAGAAATTTACGTGAGTTATAAAATGAATCTTGGACCACCAGAAAAAGAACACTAGGTAACCAAAATAATTAACTATAGATACACAGTGAAGCCGTTTAGATATATTCATGTTAGTACATTGATACTGAAGCAGTTTATACAAGCCTCATACAAATCAGTAGTCGGGAAAGACTGAGTTATGAAAAAAGCATTCCCAAAATGAATAAAAACAGTTTATGTTTTAGTACAAATTCTTGAAGAGCACAATTTGACCCTTTACCGTGACGAGTATGATAAAAGTCGTTAGGATACCTTGGACCAAATCAGATTGTAATTAGTGGTCTCTGAGTTCCTGAGTCGAAAACTATGTTAAAAATACCTTTTTGTTTACTAATTTTCAACTTTATCTCGATAACTGTGTGATTTTAAGACAACAGTCACTACCTCTGTGTAACCAAGTCTACAAAGCATTTTTTTATTTTGACTAAAGAAAAATTTAGTTGTAATATTGGAATCAACACTAGATAAGTTTTGATTTTACATCTTACTTCACTCATAGCTTATTAAAATCCAGCAACTATTAAACTATTTCAAAGCTTTTTCCGAAGAATAACTATTTTTGATTCAATAAACAACTAGTTTAAGAGTCCAATGTTTACAAAATCCTTTATTTCTACAATTTCACTGATTTGTACAGGCAATAATAACCAATGATGAGTAAGTTTCCCAAGTTTATCGAGAATACTTAGTTTAGGAAAATGAGGGACTTAATCACTCAGTTGCAACCGACAAAGTACAAGTAAATTTACATTATCTTACTTTTGGTAGGCCATGTCCACATGAATTATAAGTAGTACGTCCTATTCGGCTTTTTCGTCGAGCTATACGTCTTTTGACAATAACTAGTATGCTGATCAAAATGATGACTCCAATTGCCAACAGAACTAAGAATAATGCCAGAGCAATATGTTGTGTTGGCATTGTAAATGTAAACTAAAATCGGAGGTAGATATTTATTCTACATCAACGATTCACAACCTGTAAATTCAGAAATACATAATTTTGAAAACCTTCACATTTCAGGCATTTCAGCAGACAAAATAGAAATGATTAGGGATCGAGGAGCATGCATCTACATAACTGTAAAGATACTGCGTCTAATTAAATAAAATTTAAGCAAACAAAGGTGTGAATAACACAAAATCCGGATGCTTAAAATGATAAAAGTCTTGATCTCATGGTTGATAGATTTATGAATGTTTGATAATCCCAAACTCCAGTCTATATTTAAGTTAGTTTAGAAGCTAAAATCTGATGGCTATCCATAAGGATCTCAGTCATTATTCGATCAGGGCCTTCTGCTTTTTATCACTTTAGATTAGCTATGGCCTTTGTAACCTAAAGGTTAAAGGATTTGTGTGATTTCAGTTTTTGGGACAGTGAGTAGCCAGAACATATATGGAGGACAGCTGAACTGTTACTAAAAATATGTTGCTTATCGATCATTTCGAGATTCTTTAAGATAAACTCTTACTACAATCGACCAAGTGCATATCTAATTCCTCCTTGCATGTATCCCTGAACTTTCCATCTTTAAATTGCTATCTAAATGGTTTTCCTGCTGTAACCTCCACAAATCCAGTAAAACTCATAGATAAACGAAATCTTATTGTATTATGATCGAAGTTCAGGCATGTACTCCAGAAGGAGTGGAAGTTTTTAATCGATCCTGCCTAATAATTAGTGATGGCGGAGTGATCGATTTATGTCCATTACTGGGTTGGTGCTAGGGGCTATCAATGTCTTTTCTAATGCTTAAATTCCATTATTCTAGGATCGGGAAAGTGTTATCAACTAGTATAAGGAATTAGGATTACGAGTTTGAATTCAGGACACCAGCTATAATCCCAAAATGTCATTTAAGTATGTGGACGAATGAAACTCGCGCCAAAACCTAAGGCCTAATATTTCTAATTTCATTGGTTTGTTCAAATATTACGGTTTCGCAGGTAAAAAGTTTCCTGTAAGGCTTATATTTCCTTGATCTAAGTTGCGATCACTGTGGACATAAGAATAAACGACGAGTTATAGTGGCTTTTCTTCGCTAAATACATATTTTTGGAGATTTAGTGAACTTTAAAGAAGTATTTTATCGTTACTTGATTATTCGTTGAAACTACTGAATTAAGCATCTCAAATAAACAGAAACAAGAAGTAGCCCAAATCTACATTTTAACGTTCAGAACGCCAACACGAGCCGCAAAACGTAACAGCGCAGTAATTTTATGAAACAAATAAAGAACTGGATGATGACATTGGCATTAGATAAAGATAAGGAACATAGTTAAATCACTACACATTCCGTAACACCCCCTTACAGCAGACAACACGACGAATCTTACGCGAAAATAGTTCAGCAAAGCTGGAAGGACACATTTTAATGTGTTAGGCTAGCATTAAGTAACGAAAAATTAACAATTCCATTGTACATCTGAAGCTAAATAGTTCAAAAAGACAATATATTTAAATAAGCCAATTGATTCTTTAAAAAATGTGCCACTCGTATGATTCAAAACTTCAAACCTTAATTATACAACAAACAAGGAATGAATCTCGCAAACTAAATTCACACTCCCCTTTGACTGTTTAGCCTTGATCTAACCTTGGAGTTATGTTTGGCGCACAAACAGTAGCAAATACCCTATTGTTTATCTACTGTTCTAGGTACTTTATAGAGTCTAAATGATGATAATCTGGTTACGTGGCTTCGGTATTTGTCGTCATTTTGATTATCATTTTTGACTTGAAAATCTTGCAATTTGAGTGAGCGAGTGTCTCAGGATAGTAGGGTCTCCGGATACCCGCAGCAATCATATAATCGGATAAAAGGTTGACTGGTTGTAATTGTTCTAGTACAAAGAGAAGAGGATTATCTCGAGAATGATACGTAAGTTGATGAGTTTGAAATGCAGAAATTTTGGGAAGACCGAGGTGTATGAGAAAGCGGGAATACGAGGCGGAGATAAATGAAGTGGGTACAAGTGTTCATTAGTGACAACTGTGCTAATTTATGAGACAGGCATCAGACACACCTGTCCAAAAACATTGATGATCGGTGGTTTAGTTTGTGTTTTTCAGATGTCCTCCTAAAGCTTTCCAATGGTATTGCTCTAGTCACATTGTCCAAATAGTAGCAACTCTTAGTGAGAAAATGTGAGAGAACATCTGAATATCTGGGTGATGATTAGAAGTGTTCGAATTATAATACGAGCCAGGAATCCCGGAAATCCCACAATCTAGATCAAAATGAACTACGTGAGCACAAACGAACGTTTTGTTTTTGAGATTCGAAATCAGGCAGACATCAAGTACAAAGGGACAATTAGTTCATACAAACACCACAATTCGTTTTTTTATCTTCAATCTCCCGACGGTCTCCTCGAGGAAGGTGGTGCTGGTGTTTTGGTAATATGCTCGTGTTGAGGAAGCTTGGAGTACTTAGTATTATTCTTCTGTAGCTCGACGAGAATAATACAAGGCGTTTAGGACTATAATCTCAAGATCTATGATCTAGACCTATCACGCACTTTGTTGACTGTGTTCATACATGGTTTAGGAGATTTATCTATTTTGGATAGAGGTGGCTCAATAACATCGTGGACTCCATGATAAAGCTGTGTGTACGCTCGAAACAGTGCCGCAGACAGATCTGGGGTGATTGCGCTAAATTGCCTATGCATAAGGTCAGTAGTTGAGTTTGCCTTAGCTTCATTTCTATGTAGTTGAGGCTGGCATCAAAGCTCACCTTGGTTACAAGCCTGAGGTCACACTGAGAAAATAATAGGGAGCTGTTTTCGATTAAAAACGTAAGTGCTTGGTGTTCAACGAAGCAAAACGCTAATGACACGGACACACTATTGGGATTTATACTTCTCGATTCTTTCAGCCTTAAATTTCGTTAATCTTGTTAACTGAGTTGAGATAGTAATGTTCTTAATTTATTGCAGGCTTTGATTTGACGTTTTCACTGAATTTCTTTGTTTCTTCCTGAACTATATCTATGTTATATCTGTTAGGTTTGAAAGCTTCACAAGTTCACTTAAACTGTGAACGAAAAAATACTCAGTGACCAAAGACCAGTAATCGAACTATTGACGCGTCCCAGCCCCGCTATCTAGAAGGAGAAGTCCAGGATTGGCATGGAAAGTATATTCTGCAAACAGCCAGAAAAATAGCGAGCAAGCAAGCAAGCAGCAAGCAAACAAACACAATTTAATATATATATATATATATATATAATCGATATTGTCATAGAAAATTTTTAAGCACTAATCAAGGAGTTCATAAATTGACCTATTTACCCATTGAATCGATAGTTCATCTATTGACCCCAATACAAATAATTAAACATTTAATCAATAAGTTGATCGATGCGATAAAATTCAAAAATATGAGTTTGGGGATCTATCGTCCCCAACACTCCTCCCCTTTTTAATAGCGGGCTTTCCTGGGGTCAACCTGAATCCCGACTGTAGCTCGCCGTTCTCTTATAGGCCACCGTCTGGGACGTGTTTCAGCTTGTTGTTGAGGTTTTTCTTATGGTGGGGTTGCTTGTAAGTTGGATGTATCAAGCAAGATGTCGAGGGGAAGATTTACTCCTGTTGAGGGGTGTTCTGGGGCTATCCGCTTACGTAGTTGATTTCGGTGTCTCTTCTCACCTTTACCTTGTACATAACTTGGCCTAGTCTTCCAACCACACGTGCTTCGATCCAAGGACCATGATTTGCTTTGTAGTCTCGAGCGAACACAGGGCATCAGACCTCGTACGCTGGAAGCTTCTGAGATTTGGTCTGAGATGGTGGTGGTGTGGTTCGTGGGCACATGAGACTGTGGACCGTCCTCAATTTCCTTCCCATCAGGATCTCTGCCGTAGACTTCTGCTGTGGTAGCATATCACTAGGTGTTGTTCGGTAAACAAACAAGAAATTCTGTAGTGTTTCCACTGGCGTCCCTTCCTCTTTCGACTTCATTAGAGCTCTCTTGAATGTATCCACAAATCTTTCTGCCTGGCCATTCGACTGTGGGTAGTAAGGTGGAGAGCAGAAATGCTTGATCGATAGGCGTTTGCAAAATTCCTGAAATTGGCTTGAGGTGAATTGCGAACCGTTGTCGGAAACGATTATATCCGGTAACCCATTGCGAGAGAACATCTCCGTCAAAAGTTGCATCGTTTGGGTTGTCGTTGGTGGCATGACGGGAACGATTTCTGGCCATTTCGAAAAGGCGTCAACAACGACTGGATAGGTGATTCCATTAATTGGGCCTGCGAAATCGGCATGTATCCTGGACCAGGGATACTCAGGACATGGCCATGGGACCGGCAGTAGTTTCGCGTTACACTTGGCTGCTTGCCGACACTGTGCGTGGTCCTCTGTCAATAGGGAGGTAATAACTGCATCTTCGCCGGCCGTATGGTGTTCGCTGGTTGACAACTCCGTCATTAGGTTCCTCGTATATGCTTCCAAGTCATGTGGTTGTTGTCGTAGTTGGGGTTGTGATACCCGGTTGCATATGGTATTCAACGGGACATAAGCTAAATTTAAGTGATCGAACCAATCTAACCCGAGCAGATTTAGATCAGCTGGCGTTATGTAGCATACCCCAACAAATGTAAAATCACGGAAAGTAACTGTACATTCTATTTGTCCTAGAAATTGAAGGTAATTACCACACGCAGTACGAGGCTTTTGCGTTGTACGCTGCAAGTTTGGGCTGCCCATTTTGGTCCAAGTCTTACGAGAGAGGATAGTGACATCAGATGCTGTATCTACCTGCAATCTCAATGAGTGCCCATTAATATTAAGGGTAATAAATTTCCTCTCAACTGGGATTGAGTTCTCACAGCTTGCTATTAAACTCAACGAATTCGTGTTGGATCTAAGTGTAGGTTTTCCGGTACCATCTTTATGACGCACTGGATT